TCCTCAAAGTGCGTCTTCCATACAGAAAAGCAAAGCGGAATCTGCTTATTCACACGAGCTTCTGTCGCGTCAGATAATATCTTCGCTGTCGTCAACTGTTTTTCCGTCCAAGCCGCCCAAGCTGCGAAGTATTGACCAAGATGTCGGCGTCGAGAGAATCGAAGAAAGCGTTTTTCTCGCTCACGAAAGTCTTTTTGTTCATCTATCGCCACTTTCCAAAGTCGGAAAAAGTGGATTTTTCGTCGTTGGTGTGAAGATTCTTCCCACAGATTTAATCTTGTTCTGGCAGTCTGGTTACGTGAAACATTCGCGCGTAATTTATTCCACGACTGGCTAAGCGATCGCAGCCTGCGCTGATCAGCACAAATGCAAAGCAGAGCTCGTGAAGCTTGGATTCTTTCTTTTCCACGTTTCCAACGCGAAAAAATTCGACGCTTTAGTGCGGTTTCGAACTGATTTCTTCCCTCCCGTCTAGATTCTACCACAATTTGCCACAATTTCAACACCTTTCGCTTGACACGACTAAAATAATGTCGGCCGGCTTTATGCTGCTGGGTTTTGGTCCAAAATTCGCGCCTCCAATGGTTTAGACAGCGTCTCAAGCTGGAACGACAATGACGTTGAAAAATCCATTGTGCTCGATCGTTTGAGCACTTTTTAGTCTCAGTAAACAATCGCCAGTTCTGGATACACTGAAAAACAGTCTCCAGTACAGCGGAACGCTGTTTGATCATCATACGAACGCGAAATGATTTAATTTTCTGCGCATCTTGATGCCACGCGTTTAGCAGCGTCCTCATCTGCCAAATCCACACTCTCTTTGCGGATTTTTTCAGAGTTTTCACATCGACCGAGATTCTGCGTAAAATGCACAGAGGAAGCGCTCGAGGGCTCTCCGTCGCGTGAAAATCGATTTTCTCAGGTAAACATAACGTGATCCAGTGAAAAATCGCGTGTGTACTCCACGTCAAAATCTGGATTTTATGTGACTGTTGATCTTGGAGTTTTCGTTGATTCACCAGCTGTTTGACAGCTTGAGTTGCCTGCCATTGCTCCATCGACGTCGTGATCATCTGAAGTTGACGCTCTTCCGTATTTTCCGCAGTTGGTGGCCTAGGGAAAACTATCTCATTGTCGTTAACGGGGATTTTCTGGATCGGGGAGTCAAGTGACAACATATCACCGAATCTATCGTGTTGCCGCTGTTCTTTAAAAACAAATCCAGATTTTAGCGTGGATTTTCTGACGGGAGTCGAATAATCCGACACTAGCGTTGCTCCACGAACAGTGTTGTCCTTTTCAGTCTTCTGTCTCCTTTGAGCGCCAGAATCCAGTGATTCAACAGCACGTCGGTGACCCGTACACAGTCTTTTTACCCTCGGTTGAGCACCTAAATCCAAGTTGAGAATCTTCTTGCGCCAATCTCGTTCTGGATTAATTGAGAGTGATAGCAAATATCTATGGTACACTGCGTCGTCAGGAGGACCGATGCCGTAGCGCTCAAAGATCAAGTAGGAAGCTTGGATCAACTCGATGAGAGAAATTGGCTCCGCTTCTGCATCAGATACCGACCGCTTGGACGCTCGAGTACGTTCAGCCAGCAGGAAAATCTGCGTCAACAGATTGCACACCATTTCACGACGACATTGATCTGTGGATTTTGAGCCATGAGCACGAGAACTTGCCGCCACTTGCGTCGACATCCTTCTCCTTGTACTGCAGTCTGAAGAGACTGCAGTTTCTCTTCTAAAGAACCAAACGACGGGGTCGTTTCAGCGCCGATATTTTACCATCAAATATCCGTTTTATTGAGTGTTTCATCGCTGAAATCAATACAGATAAACAGCAGTGGTGATGTTTATGTTGAGGACAGCGAGAGTCATGAACATCACTCCTAAAAACGTGCTGGCTTCTTTGATTCGATCGAATTCCATGCCGATTGCCATTTCCAGCACGACGCAAACATAATCGACCAGAATTTCGACGATAAATTGGAATCCGAGCATGGCTACCTGGTTAAATCTCCATCTGGCGAAATGAGCTTCGGATAATCCATTATCTGCTTCGAGCTGAAGAGCTG